TTCTTAGAGTTCTGGTCCTTACAGGTCTGGTTCTTACAGGTCTGGTCCTTACAGGTCTGATCCTTACAGGTCTGGTTCTTAGAGTTCTGGTCCTTACAGGTCTGGTTCTTACAGGTCTGGTCCTTACAGGTCTGATCCTTACAGGTCTGGTTCTTAGAGTTCTGGTCCTTACAGGTCTGGTTCTTACAGGTCTGGTCCTTACAGGTCTGATCCTTACAGGTCTGGTTCTTAGAGTTCTGGTCCTTACAGGTCTGGTTCTTACAGGTCTGGTCCTTACAGGTCTGATCCTTACAGGTCTGGTTCTTAGAGTTCTGGTCCTTACAGGTCTGGTTCTTAGAGTTCTGGTCCTTACAGGTCTGGTTCTTACAGTTCTGGTCCTTACAGTTCTGGTTCTTACAGGTCTGGTTCTTACAGTTCTGTTTTTTACTGGTCTGGTTCTTACAGTTCTGCTTCTTACAGGTCTGGTTCTTACAGTTCTGGTCCTTACAGTTCTGGTTCTTACAGGTCTGGTTCTTACAGGTCTGGTCCTTACAGTTCTGGTTCTTACAGTTCTGCTTTTTACTGGTCTGGTTCTTACAGTTTTGCTTCTTACAGGTCTGGTTCTTACAGTTCTGGTCCTTACAGTTCTGATTCTTACAGGTCTGGTTCTTACAGTTCTGGTCCTTACAGGTCTGGTTCTTACAGGTCTGGTCCTTACAGTTCTGGTTCTTACAGGTCTGGTTCTTACAGGTCTGGTTCTTACAGGTCTGGTCCTTACAGTTCTGATTCTTACAGGTCTGGTTCTTAGAGTTCTGGTCCTTACAGGTCTGGTTCTTACATGTCTGGTTCTTACAGGTCTGGTCCTTACAGTTCTGGTTCTTACAGGTCTGGTTCTTACAGGTCTGGTCCTTACAGTTCTGGTTCTTACAGGTCTTGTCCTTACAGTTCTTGTCCTTACAGTTCTGGTTCTTACAGGTCTGGTTCTTACAGTTCTGGTTCTTACAGGTCTGGTTCTTACAGGTCTGGTTCTTACAGTTCTGGTTCTTACAGTTCTGGTTCTTACAGGTTTGGTTCTTAGAGTTCTGGTCCTTACAGGTCTGGTTCTTACAGGTCTGGTCCTTACAGGTCTGATCCTTACAGTTCTGGTTCTTACAGATCTGGTTCTTACAGTTCTGGTTCTTACAGGTTTGGTTCTTAGAGTTCTGGTCCTTACAGG